TGACATAGTGACTGTAACAATGGGCTAAACATAACAACAATTGTGAGGACGGTGCAAGGCCAAACAGTGCTTCTTTCTGTCGTAGACAGGGTTGCTATGAGGTACAACTCACTTGAGGGCACCTAGCAACAACAGTAACAACAACAAGGGGGGTTTTCCTTTTATTTATTTAATGGTGTGCTTCAAAGAGTAGGAGTTTTAGATCTTTAAAAAATCCAACATATTAAACTTTTTATTTTTAGTGCTTTCTGTGTCCTAAGAAACATTTGCCTACCCAAGGTCCAAAACTTGCCCTTTCTATTTTCTGCCTTAAGCTTTATAATAAGTTCTTCGCTTTTACCTGTAGGTCTATGATCCTTCTTGAGTTAATTTTTGTTGTATGAGGTGGAAAAGTGAGGCAAGTTTCTCTTTTTTGTTTAATATGAATAACCAGTTATTCAGCACCTTTGTTGAAAGGATTTTTCTTTTTCCATTGGATTACCTTGGCACTCTTGGGTTTGAGTTGTATCTCCCAGAAAGACATGTTGAAGTCCTAACCCCTGGGACCCTGGAAGTGTGACCTTGCTTGGAAACAGGAGTTTTAAAGCTATTACCAGTGACCATAAAGTCATGCTGGAGCAGGGTGGGCCCTAATCCAGTATGAGTAGTGTTCTTTAAAAAGAGGAGACAAAAAAGAGGGAAGGCAACCATGTGAAGACAGAAGTGGCGACTGGAGTGATGTGGCCACAAACCAAGGAATGTCTGGAACCAGCAGACACTGGCAATGCCAAGAATGGATACTCCCTGAGAACCTTTGAGATAACATATCTCTGAAAACACCCTGAATTCAGACCACTACCCTCTAGAATAAACGCATTTTCTTATAAGCCATTTACCTGGTAACTCTTTGTTGTGGAGCCCTCAGTTATTTGTTAATAATAATGAAGTCTAAACAATTGCAAATGATTTGCTCTTACTAGAGTAGAATCTTCCTAAACATATAGATCTCAAGGTTGAGCTCATACACTTGCACTCTGAGGTGCTCCCTTGCTTGAAGAGAAAGACCCACACTCTGGTTAGCAGAATGGAACCTCTAAATCCTGCTGTGAATGTCCAGCAGCCCAGTGCAAGTGGGGAAGGCGCGGCAGAAGTGCTGCTGTGGAGAATTTAATGCACTGATTTTCTTTCGGATGAATCCTTGTCATTGAATCAGTGCTTGCTTTGACCTCTGTTTAACTGACCACCGTCATTGTGATAGGTGACGATGCTGAGACCTCTCCAACGTTCGTGTCCAGGTCACCAAGGACATGTGGCCATGCTGCCCCTCATTTTGCAAGACAAGGCAGGGGAGGATGAGGTTCTGGTCTTTGTGCCGCCTTCCATTTCTGACATGCGCAGGACCTGATGGGACATGCTTGAGTTGACTCTGGCTCCCAGTGTGTGTTGGAGTAGAACACCACTCCATGGGGTTTTCAATGGCTGGGTTTTTTGAAATTAGATCGTTAGGCTTTTCTTCCAAGGAGCCTTTAGGGGGACTTCAAAACTTCAAACCCTTCTGTTCGTTGTGGAGCCTGTTAATTGATTTTGCTCTCTTGGGACAGCATCATAGAGATGGAGCCCTTAAATGCCACCTGGGGGGGAGGGGGACTAGGCCTCGTCATCTGGTCTCCAAGTATTAGCCCCCAAATGGGCATTACGGTAACTTCCCTGCCCAGAGTTTTCTGAGATTCAATTGAGACATGTAGCAGTCTTACATCATATCCTGAGTCCTTGCTGAGCGGGCACACTCCGACAGAAGAGGAAGGAAAATGAACATGACCTCTACTTCAGAGTTGAGAACATTAAGCCTCAAGGGTGTAACAAGGTGGAAAGCCCAGTCCTTCTTGGCTCACTGCCTAGCAGGCATTTCTACCCTGCTTCTCCTTCTGAGAAGAGCCCCCAAGCACAGGAATGAGCTTGAGGTTAATGGTGAATGGGGCAAAAAATAGGGTCAAACCAAGATGTCAGCATCACTGGAAGGCTGCTGCTGGTCCCTGCCTTTTAACGAGGCACGGGCTGGGCTTTGTTCTTGGCTTTTAAAGCAATGAGCTTTACTGGGCATAGCGACCACTCAGAAATCTCCAGGCAACTGTGTTGCCTGATAGGTGAGGTTCGTGGCTTCACACCACACTCTCTCCTGAGTGTGGAGATGCGTCCTCCTCTCCCGAGACCATGGATTACCCTTGGCTAGCCTATGCAGCTTTGACGTTTCAGTCACTCAGAAGCTGCCCTTTCCTACTCTGACCATGTCCTGAGTCTGAGTTGTTACCTAGGAGGATCTGAGGTTGCACATGTAAGTCTACTGGCTGCCACGGTCATCTGTGGGGGCAAGGGACTCTGACGGTGTTGGCTCTGAGTCCCAGCTAGCCCTATGGACTGGGTCCGTGGCCCTGCTCCTCATTGACAGAGTCCTGAAGCTAGTCACCTGGCTGCCACACTGGAGGGCCATAGGGTGCTTGGGTACAGGAGCAAAGGAGGGGTCAGAAAGGCTCCTCAGGTGCTGCCCCCTGCCCCTGCAGCAGCCTGTCCCTGAGCACACACACTGCCTACACCACCCAGCAGTGGACATAATGGATGGTGGATGGCCCAACCTTTTCAGGATGGAATGAGTTGATGCCAGCAGATTCCCTGACGACTAGGTCTGTCTCCCCATGCATGGTCCCCTGCTTGCCCTGTGGTGCCAAGCACATGCAGCGCACAGCCTGGGACATCACGAGTGTCAGCAACTCCCTCCCTGCCCATCACTGTTAATAAGGGCAAGGCCCTACCCCACTGGAGGAAACATTGATATGATCCACAGGTGGGGGTGCTGGGGGTAGAGGACACCTGGGCAGGCATTCCAAGGCTGCCAGGTATTCTTTTGAATTTAAACACACCTTTCCTCTCATACAGGGAAAGAAAAATGATTCTCCATTGTTGAATGGTGTTCTCCAGTGTTTCATTTCTTACTACTGGACTGGCAGCCAGCAGCAGGAACACTAGGCTTTCGTGAGCTAGGAGACAGGTTCTCGGACTGCCAAGCGAAGGCACCGGTCAGCAGACTCTTGTAGCAGAAGCGAGAATGACAGGGGTAGGAGACAGACACTGGATCCAGTTTGTCCCACAATTTAACTCCAGAGGGTTCAAAGCCACCAGGGCCTCGTAGCCTCAGAGGCCTGGTCCTGGGGACAGGCAATGTATCTGCTAGAGGGAGACTACTCAGCTCTAAAACCCACTGCCCAAAGTCCAGGCCGATGCATCATGACCCTTGAGGACAGCGCCATAGGGTTTGCGAGCCTGGCGAGCTTTCAGGGTGCACACTGCCTCACCTGGTGGTTCTAAACAGTGACCTTTTGGTTAGGGGTCACTGCTTGGTCCATTGTGCTATCGGGGCTCCCACTCAGCTCCAGGACACAGGATTTTAGTTGGTCCTTCAACGGAGAGAAATCCTAGGCTAAGAATGGGCCCTCACCACCAGGCTGGGGAGGGAAAGACAGCAGCAGCTCTGGGGAGGCATCTTCCAGTGAGTCCCCCCAGACAATGAAAACTGCAGGGGCCTTTAAGGAGGTCACCCAGGCTTTCCTTGGGTACCTGATCCTCCGAACCCTCAGAACAACAGACTGAAGAGGCCTTACCTTGAAGTTGGGTTTAGGTGCTTGAGTCTGTGTGGGGATCTGAAGACCAAGTCTGAAAGTCCAGGCTCGCTCGGCCTTGTGCTCCTGGGACCAGCTGTGTCCTTGGGAAGGCCATTCTGTCCTCATGGGCAGAGCAGGGCAGGTGGGAGGTGGGTGGTCTCCAGAGCGCTGCTTGTTCTCTTTTCCTCCCATAACCCTGATCAAAGCCAGTGTCACTCATGGTTGACCTGTGTGAAGAGGCAGCATCTCCTCTAACCCTCCAGCTAATGCGTGAAACAGCTACTGCTAGGATTTCCATTTTACAAAGAGCAGAACCAAAGGCCCTGAGGGTCACTATGGTGGGTTGGGCTTAGGCACCATGCCTCATTTTCTCTACTTGGGAACTGTCCGTTCTTGGTACTGCAGTGTGGCTACTCTGCTTACGGGTTGAATGATCCCTCCTTTTCATTTTTAATTATTTACTTTCACGTTAAAAAAAAAAAAAAAGGACCCAGGACAGCAGTTTTGGTTCCAGGTTTCCTGCGGGACTTGGGGTTGGGCTTCCAGAATTCCAAATTAGTAACATGGTAAATGACACCAACACCAGGCCGGGGCAGGAATCTGATTAGAAACCTGCTCAGGAAAGGCACTGGCTGTTGGCTGACTACAAAGGCCTGGATCAAAGGCCCCATTCTTTCTCAAAGGTTGCCTTGCAAGTGCCAAGTGCAGCCTCCTGTTAGGAAAGGAAACTGCGGGAGTTCAAGGATCTGCTGGAGCTGGAGCCTCAAAGACCCCGGGGCATCTGCTCCCCTTTTAGCCTCACTGGTGGGGCAAAAGGCAGAGAAAGGCCTCATCCTGGGGCCAGAGGTCTGCCTCCCAGCTCTAGTTTATGAAAATCAAATAAACATCTGGCCCTGGCTCAGAGACACGACTACCCTCACTTTTTGGCATTTCATTAGTGGTCTCTTTGAAGCCTGCCCTTTAAAAAAAAACACAACAGAATGAAAGGAAGGAGAAAGGAAGGGAGGCGGACTCAAAAAGCTTCTCTTCTCTGGCGTTTCTGCAGCTTCTGTCCGTCTGCTCATTACATGAATGGAAGAGTCTGTCGGGCAAGAAATCACGCCCGGTGTTGACACTGGAGTGGAACAACCCAAGCCCCAATGGGCAAAGCACTTTTCCAAGGGATGGCTTACACGGTTGTTCCTTTCTCCCACTCAGCTCCAGGGCAGGGGCTTTTAGTTGGTCCTTCAAAGGAGAAACCCTAGGCTAATAGTGGCTCCTCCCTCTTCCCCCAAATAAAAGACAAATGCTACATCAACAGCTTCTCAAGAACGAGCCTTTATTTTTGAAAGTTCTGAAATTGACCCATTTCCCGGAAGACACCTGTGCTCCTCTTCACGGACAGCGTTGTTTGCTCCTCGGGGAAATCTTCCGGCCACCAGAGGGGCTCAGCTGGGGGAGGCAGCCACCTCAGAACCTGCCCTCCACGCCCAGCACCCGCACAACAGCCTCCTGCACCGTCTGGTGGATACGCTGCACCTCTGGCTGTGACAGCGTGCGCTCCGTGTGTCGGTAGGTGATGCGGTAGCAGTGGCTGGTCTTGTGTGTCCTGGAGATCAGAAGAGAGGGTGATGAGCGGAAGCACAGGGCCTTGTCCGCAGGAGGGACATCCAGCACTGGGACTGGACACCGTGCTTTGGAGAACTGTGGGTACGACCTCCACCGTCACTTTCTGGCTGAAAAGTATCCCAATTCTTTGTGGGGAAGGGGGTTGTTGGGGAAGTATTACCAACCAATATGACCAGCAGGCAGGGTTAGGAACCTTATCTTCCTTACTGCACAGAATACAACCACATAGCAGGAACTGAGGGGCTGGTCCAGGTCTGAAGCTGGCCCAGGGCCCTAGCTTCCCAGAGGCTGACAGGTCTCCCTGTGTCATGCCCTGTCAGGCTGTGGGAAGGACTCACAGTGCCTTTTAGACTCTTGTTTTAATCCTCTGGTTTCCTAGGTTGGGTGGACGACTGTGAACTTCTGGAGGATGTGGGAGGAGGCTGGTAAGGCTTTCTATTTGCACCATGGCTTCTCAGACACATGGAATAGCATGACCACCCTAGCCCAGGAAGACCTTGGGCCACAGGAGAACAGACCTGACCTCGGCCTTGAATTGTCTTCACTGGCTGAGTGGCCTTGGGCCTGCCTCTCTTCTCGGGGAGACCACGTCTCTCCTCTAGAAAGGGCAGAAAGGCTTGTTCAACTTCAGAATCTAAGGAGTTCTCTTTTCCCATTCCAGTCACACTGCTGGGGAAGCTACCTCCACCTCAAGCTTCACTCAAAAGGAGACAGCGGCAGACTCAGACGGCCTGCAGCTCTCTGTTCCCGGCCTCAGCAGTAGGGTTGCTGTTCTGAACAGGTGACCAAGCCCGAACCAAACTCGCTGCCATAGAGTTGGTGCTGACTCAGCAACCTGATAGGGCAGGGTAGAATTGTCCCTGTAAGTTTCTGATACGTTAACGATGTATGGGAGTAGAAAGCCCCTATCTTTCGCCCATGGAGCCAGAGTGGTTTTGAACTGCTGACCTTGCAGATTGAAGTCCAAGGCATAACCACGACAACACCAGGGCTCCTTGCACAGGTAAGGAAGAGCTTAAAAGAGTCAGAGCTCATGGGACAAATGGGCTTCTGGTGAATTCACCTCAGGCCACGCCCTTACCACCCACCAGAAGCCCTACTAATTCTTACCATCACCCCTTGGTCCATGAGTGGCCAGAACTCCAGGGATTTGCTCTCAGTATGGTCTCCCTCTTTCCTCTCCCCCTTCCTCCGTTTTCAGAGCAGAGCCCCTGTCAGGCTGGGCAGACCTGATAATCAGTTTGCTTTGGGTCGTAATACTCTCCTCCCTTCTTTTCTCCACCTGGGAGTGGTCATCTTTGAGTCCCTTGTCAGGAAGGAGAAGCTCACAGGCTTTAGGGTGCTGCAGTTCATGGGGAAGAAGCCCTGGTGGTGCTGTGGGAGAAGCATCAGACTGTTCACAACTAGGGTGGCAGTTCAAACCTACCAGCCACTCCATGGGAGGAAAAGGAAGCTGTCAGTTCCCATAAAGATGTACAGGCTTACAAACGCTGGACAGGGTCCCCTTGAGTGGGGATTTCCATGGTGGCAATGAGTCTGCCCCTTTTTGTCTGGGGCTCACATAGTTAACTGCTTCAAACTTGGTACAGCCTCCCTATTTGAACCAGGCTGCTGCTGCTGGTGGTGGTGGAGAGGATTAGTCAGTACATACTCAGCGAAAGAGGCCTTTCCTTTTGCAAGCTCCTTGGGAGTCCCAAGATCATGCCACCTGCTCACCTGAGGCCAGCTGCCTGCTCAAGATCAGGGGAGAAAACAAACCTTCTCCATCCCTCTTTTTGGTTCTTTCAGTCCAACTCAGGCCCAGGGCTTTGCTCAGGGGTCATGGCTGGGAGTAGAAGGCACTGCTGCTTGAACTGCCCCCAGGAGCCTCCCATGTAGTCCAGGAACCACTTCTCATCCCTTGATGCTCCCGATATGAATGTCCCACCCCCATCCAGGCATCAGCGTGCCAGCAAGGCAGAGGAACCCAGCTCAGGGGGGAAAGTAAGAGGTGTTCCAAGAGTAGGAGTTGGTGAAGCAAAGTGCCCCCAGTCTACTACTGCCAAATGCTGCCATATCCCCTTGACACCCCATCCCTCCAGTTATAGTCATTGGTTTTTCACAAGGGTGCTGGGACCACTCAATGGGAAGATGTCATTTCAACAAATGGGGCTGAGACTATTGGATAGGCATATGCAAAAGACAAAAAGAAAGAAATGAATATGAACCCTTTCCTCATACCATACAAAAAATTAATTACAAATCAATCATAGACCTAAATGTGATGTAAAACTATAACACTACTAAAAGGAAATATAGGAGTAAATATTCATGACCCCGAGTTAGGCAAAGTCTTCCGAGACATAATATCAAAAGCATAAGCAAGAAAAGAAAACAAAACCAAATAAACTGGACTTGGTCAACATTTAAAACATTTGTGTCTCATAGGATACCATTGAGAGAATGAAAAGACAGTCCGCAGAATGGGAGAAAACATTTGCAAACCACATATCTGGACAAAGAACTGTATCTGTTCCCCCTTTCCCCTCTTCTCTCCCTCTCTTTCCTATCATACACCACTACTGGCTTCCAGGTCACTACCCTCCGCCTAGGGCAAATCAACCCAAATAGCAGGGGAACTCCAGCCCTGACCTCTGTGGGAGTGCTGCACACCACATGAGGCAGCTGTGACAGCCATCTACAGCATGCTGCACTGCTGAGGAAACCTCCGTCGGACCTCTAAGGTGATCTCGCCAACTAGGGCAATTCTGCCCAGCACCACTGGGTCACTGCATTAAAAGGGCACACGAACCTGCCATTGTGGGGCAGGGTTTAAACCCTGCTGGCTCCACATTCAAGCAATCAGCGATCAGTTATTGTTTATTGTTTATTTCCTCCTTCTCTCTTTTTTCCCTCTTTATCATCACAGTCAATCTTAGCACAGTTGTGTTCTCCCCTACTTTCTTTGTTCTCTCTTTCTTTCTTCTCTTCTCTTCTCTCTCTGCTTTTATGATTCTACCTTATCACTCTCTTTCCTTCCACATGCCATTGCTGGTTTCCAGACCCCTTCCCTCTGCCTAGGGCAACTCTGCCCAGGCAGTGGGGAGAGCTACAGCCTGCCCCCAAAGACAGTGCTGCACACAGCCCGGCATGGGGTTCAGCTATCTCTTTATCTACTTTTTAAAATTTCTCTCCTTCGCTCTCTCTTTTTCTTCTTTTTCTTTCTTTTTATTCTTCTTTCACTTTTTCTTCTTTTCTCCTCTTCTCCTAGAACTTCTCTCTTTCTTGTCACAGTCTCAGCAGATTCAGGTCTCCTTTTTGTTGTTTTCTTTTTTTTTCACTTTATTTTACTGTTTTCACTTTTGTTTATTCTGTGCATTTTAGTTGTGTGTGTGTGAATGGGTGTTAGTTTGCCTGACATTATTGCCCCAGTCTTTGTTTCCTTCTTTCTCTCTTTTTCTTCTCCTTTCACGCTCTCTCCTTTCACAAGCCTCCAGGCCACTCCCCTCCACCTAGGGAAACCCTGAAGGCCCAATTGGGGGAGCTCTGACCTGCATTTGTTTGCTTTGCATGCCTCAGGGGAAATCACACCAGTCATCTTCCATACACCAAGCAGCAGGGGGTTCTCACACTCAGACAGTGGGAGGATCTCCTGCCTAAATCCTGAGGTCCTAGAAGTGACTGGGGGAAACTCCTGCCCACCACTGGTGGGGCTCAGCACTACTGCGGGAAGATCCACCTAACCTCCAAGGGAATCTGTCTGTGGCAATTCCCCCTGCTAGCTACAGAGCTCTACACCAAGGAGAGTATACTGACATGCCCGCCTCAGCACTAGTTGCAGAGGGGGAAAACTACAGGCCACCAGAGGTGCTCCAAGCAGCGTGAGGCCTACTTAGAGATCAGCCAGTGAAGCGACACCCTGGTGGGCCCACAACAACCTGACTAGAATCACATGAGAGGAATATCCAACTCACATTCCAAATAACAGAATAATGGACGGCTAGGGTAAGAGTGAAACCACAGGAAGATATAGTGATAGCCTGACCTCTGAGTACAGCTACCGGCAGGTAGTTCGTAGAAGCACTCATACGAGTCCCCAAGAGAGAGCCCAGTGCTCTTTGACTATGGAAGATGGCTCCAGGCTCCTCTAAAACAACA